AGAGAGGGAACAGAAGCAGGGGGAGTGGGAGAGGGAGAAACAGGCTTCCCACTGAGCAGGGAGCCCAGCTCAGGACTCGATCCCAGGACTCTGAGATTATGACCCGACCCGAAGGCAGATGCTTAACCCACTGAGACATCCAGGCGCTCTTATACGTGCATTTTGTGACAATTTCTCTGAAGCTGACTTCAGGCCATCTGGCATCAGTTCTCAGGGTTTTCGGAAAAAGGGCAGTTTTAGTTTTTAATGACTTTAACTCAAGAGAATGGAAGAAGACTGGAAACCTGAATTTGGAGAGCCATAGCCAGCTATTTGAGGAAACCAGAAGAATTCAGGATCTAGTCTAGTTTATAATAAATAGTATTAAAATCTAATATCTACAAAGATGTGTTACTGAAACACATTTTCTCTCTATAACCACACTCATTTTTATCAAAGACAGCCAAATCATGACTCCTTTGTATTAAAAACAAGTCCCTCTCCTTGAGGAAGAAACACATTTTGCAAGGACATCAGAATAACGATAAATGAAAAAAGATTTTTTAAAAACAGTCACAGTTGGGGCATCTGTGTGGCTCATTTAAGTGTCTGCCTTCAGCTCAGGTCGTGATCTTGGGGTCCTGGGATTGAGCCCCACGTATTCTCTCTCTCTTAAATAAGTAGTCTTTTTTAAAAATGGTCATAGTTAAATATATGATACAAAAGTTCATTAAAATATGGCTGACAAGGAAACTCAGTTATTTTTGTAACACATAACACTTCAGTAATTAGAACAGACTTATACCAGAACATAAAAAAAAAAACTTTAGGAATTTCAGGGCGCCTGGATGGCTCAGTGGGTGGAGTGTGTAACTCATGATCTCAGGGTTGTGAGTTTGAGCCCCACATTGGATATAGAGATCACTTAAAAATAAAATCTTTGGGGCACCTGGGTGGCTCAGTGGGTTAAAGCCTCTGCCTTCGCCTCAGGTCATGATCTCAGGGTCCTGGGATCAAGCCCCGCCTCGCCTCCGGCTCTCTGCTCAGTAGGGAGCCTGGTTCCCCCTCACTCTCTCTGCCTGCCTCTCTGCCTACTTGTGATCTCTCTCTCTGTCAAATAAATGAATAAAATCTTTAAAAATAAAAATAAAAATAAAAAAACTTTGGGAATTTCAGACCATTTCTATAACAGTTATGTCATTCTTCCAAAAAATACAACCACAACTTATTACTTGTTTGCCGTGCTTCCAGAGTAACTTCACATACCAAATAAACAAGCTTGAGGAGTCAAAAAGACTTCGTTTACAATTCGTGTCTCAGGGAAGTTTGTTAAAACCCCTCAAAGTTTTAAAGCATATGCTAAGTAGGATTACAGATTATTATAAATTTAATATTTACATTTAACCAAGGTGGCAATAAGGGCTTCTACAGGAAGCTAAACTCATTAGCAAAACTTAACTCCTTTAACCTTGAGAAGTTTTAACTTTCTCAAATAATGAAAGACCAGATAAAGACAAAATATAGACACCCTGGTTTTCTGCGCAGATAAAGAAAAGAGAAAAAAAAAAACTTTATTTACATTTTCTTATGGATAGCAGACCAACCATCCAAGACAACTTGGACTTTTTAACAGAGAGTAATGCAGAATTTGAATTTTATACCAGTGTGCTTTAAAAATCCATTCATTTCAACTGTTTTATTTATTCAACCTACTTGGTTTTTGTTCTTTTTTTTAACAATTAGCCATGAAAACTTTGAGACAAACAAAATAAACCATCATTTTTTAAAAATTTCATTTATTTATTTGAGAGAGAGAGAGCGCACAAGTGGGGGTGGGGGGAGAAGGATTAGCAGGCTCCCCACCAAGCAAGGAGTCCCACACAGGACATGATCGCAGGACCCCAGGATTATGACCTGAACCAAAGGCAGATGCTTAACAGACTGAGCCACCCAGGCATCCCTTTGCTGACAAATTTGAACCGCGATGACATGAGCTTATTTGACCATCACTAAACCTTGGTAGAATAAGAGTTTTCTGTTTAATGCTGGTAACTCTAAAGACACACTTAACCTTAATTAAACAAACAAATTTAAATTGGCTTAAATACTGAATATGTTGCACCTGGGGCAACTCAAAGTCAAGCCATTTGTGCCCCACTGTCACTTTTTACCTGGGGCACCTGTGGGGAAATCTGAAGTGGATTGTTCAAGTCCAGGGATTGGTGCTCTACGGTCTTTGTTAGCAAGGAGGGGACGAGCAGGTACCAATGATGGCCGAGGGTTTCACAAGCTCTGCTGACTTTGGTGCTGAAACCGCGGGGGTTGGAGGTGGGGGGGGGGGGGGCCGGGGGGGGCCGGGGGGGGGGTGGGGGGGAGGCTTTGCAGAAGAGCTGAGGTGCTTCCAGCAGCCACAACCCTGGACAGAAGAAAGAGGACTCCCAGTCCTAAAGCTGGTCAGCTCAGACAGAGGAGCAGATGGGTTTTATTTCCACCAACAAAAATGGAAACTAGGCAGTCCAGGTTGGCCCAGAGAAGACAGAGAACCTCCCCTAGGTAAAAAGGGAGTTTCAGCAGCTGCTTGGGTTAAGTCCCATCCTGAGCTGGACTAGCCAGACAATTGGCTCCAGTGATCATAGCCATTAACCCGGGGAATGAATGAGGGAGAAAACCTCCCCCACTCAACAGGAGTCAGACTTTCTCCATTCATTCAGTCCTTTCAAGAGGTGTTCCAGATCTGACACATAAAAGAAGCAAACAAAGAGGAGAGGAGTAACTCAGGAGAAAGAGGGAGGCCTATACAGGATCTCTCGACAGAAATAGAACTGAAGGTTAAGGACACATTCATGGACCATTTTTGCCTCATCTACTAAGGAGTACTGAGGCCATGCGTTATTGCAGAAGATGTCCTCTCTTCTTTAAATCTTGCAATCCTGGGCCCCTGGGTGGCTCAGTTGTTAAGCGTCTGCCTTCAGCTCGGGTCATGATCCCAGGGTCTTGGGATAGAGCCCTACATCGGGCTCCCTGCTCAGTGCGAATCCTGCTTCTCCCTCTCCCACTCCCCCTGCTTGTGTTCCCTCTCTTGCTATCTCTCTCTGTCAAATAAATAATTAAAATCTTAAAAAATCAGTCAATCAATCTTGCAATCCAAATTGGCTCCAATGGGTTAAGAGACACCCCAAGGGGGAATTCTTGGGGCGTGAAGAAGAAAAACCCATTACCATAATCCAAGCCCCTCTGACCCCCTCTCCTGCACAGTGTCATGCTCAGGGTAATGTCAAGGGTTCCTAGCATTCAAAGTGACCAGAAGTGTCCCTCAAAAAGTAGTTATGATCACCGAGCTGTCCTACCGAAGGGGTGTGGATGTCCCTTCGCTTCCCTGTTGTTTTTCCCGGGACATAATAGTGCCAGTAGACGGATCAAGAGTGCCTACTGTTTTCACTCATGAAGATGCTAAGAATTTGCAGGGGGGAAATACCTAATGTTACAATTTAAGTAGTCAGTAGGGGACATTGACCAAGAATAGTAAAGATGCAGGGGCACCTGGCTGACTTCTTCCTCTTCCTCTGCCTCCCCACCCCCACAGTTTGTTCTCCCCCTCTCTTTCTCAAATAAATAAAATCTTTTTAAAAATTGAAAAATACAGAAAAGAATAGTAAAGATGGAAATCCATCATGGTCTAAGCCACATTCCAACACATGTAGTCTTTATAGACAACTTCCCCAGGAAACATCCCTGGTTGGGACTTAAATCAATTAGGCACTGGTTTCAGGCAGCTCTGAACCAAGTTCTCAAGGCTGGAAGCGGCTAGACCAGAGGCCAGGAGCTAGGGCGCTGAAGTGAGCTAATTCTTAAGGACCTGAGCAGAGGCAAAATGGGAGCAAATCAGCCCCAGCTCTCGATGGTCCCGACTTGGGGCTGAGAAAGGAACTGGAATATAGGACCTTCCCTTTCTTAATGTCAAAACACAACAGTGTTTGGAGGTTTGCAAGTCAAGCTGGTCTCCACCCTAAGGAGACATCAGTGCCTGGGCAAGGCTGGGAGCAGCCAGACAGCAGGTGGTCTTGAGGGGACAATGCAGGTGTGGGCAGGGGTGACTTCAGTTCTCCCTTGAAACACATCCGTAGTCATGAAAATGTTTTCTTTTCAAAAGTAATGGAGCGGGGCGCCTGGGTGGCCCAGTGGGTTAAGCCGCTGCTTTCGGCTCAGGTCATGATCTCAGGGTCCTGGGATCAAGTCCCGCATCGGGCTCTCTGCTCAGCAGGGAGCCTGCTTCTCTCTCTCTCTCTCTCTGCCTGCCTCTCTGTCTACTTGTGATCTCTCTCTGTCAAATAAATAAATAAAATCTTAAAAAAAAAAAGTAATGGAGCAAGGATTGCATTAGTCGATGAAAGAAACATCAACCAATGTATTTTCACAGTCCATTGTTTACTAACCAATTAGCTGAGCTTACCCATGGGCCTCGGGAGCTCCTTAGACAACTGTTTGGGTTTTTTTTGTTTTGTTTTGTTTTGTTTTAAAGATTTTATTTGAATTATTTGTTAGAGTGAGAGAGAGAGAGAGCACAGAGAGCACAGGCAGGCAGAGTGTCAGGCAGAGGGAGAAGCAGACTCCCCATGGAGCAGGGAGACCGACTGATGCAGGACTAGATCCCAGGACCCGATCCCAGGACCCTGGGATCATGACCTGAGCCAAAGGCAGGTGCTTAACCGACTGAGCCACCCAGGTGTCCCTCAGTCCAGTTTTATATAGACTGTTCACAGCTACTAGTGTGACAGTGCTGTACAAAATCCAAACTGTCCCCTCCTAGTGCCAGGGTGTTCATCCCTCACTGGAATCATTAAATAGCGAGTGGGGAACATTTCTGTATCCGTGGATATAGGGCTAACGGGGTATTTATTTCATTAACCTCAGGGACAGTGGCTTAAATAAGCAGAGGGGCTTATTTGTATCTTTGGCCACTGAATCCCAGCAAATTACAGCGTGAAGTCATGAAATGGTCACAGTGGATGACAGCACAAAGGGCTTGCAGGGTATCAAGCCCAGACCATCTCTAGGTCCAGGCTTATTTCTCCCACGGGTGTGTGGTGGCTGGAAGGGTTTCTGTTATAGGGCTAGTAAAAGACTGGTGTATTTTCCTCTTTTTCATGCAGAATCTTTACTTGGAGAAGTTGATTTGCATCCGCGGCAAGGGTAATCAAAAATCCTTTCTTTCCTTTTCAGGTCACAGTTTTAGAAGAAACCAAAGAGTGTGATCTACAGTGCGAGCTGTGGACCCCGCAGTTCCAGGTTAGACCAGGAGCAGACGCTGACCTCACACTTCTGATAGGTAAGTAAGTTGGCTCAGTTGTACTCCGATGCTGTGCTGTCCTTCTGCACATATGCTCCTTTGTCAAAGTCGGCCTCTCACTGACCTCCCTCTGTTCATATCTGGTTAGCACCATGACCACATATGCTCAGTCTCTCTAATGGCTCGTTATGATGATCGTGAGAGATCACGAGCCTGGGAGAATGGAACTATTAACCCATCTGGTAAATTCCAAACTCAAAGCCCAGAAGAGGCCATGATTCGACCAAAACTGATTTCATGCACCTGATAGGCATGGAATGTAAATTGTACCTTGTGTTTTATCCCCTTGATATTTACAAGCATGACTTTCTGAAAAATGCTTTAATCCAGTTTATCCTGATGCCATGGACATCTTGGAGGAATCAGGTGTACATCAGACTTCAGTTAATATTATAGCTCGGTTTTTAGTGCTCAAGGTTGGACAAAGAAAGGCAGTGTTCTTTCAGTAACTTGAGACCTTCCAAAGGTGTCGGAGTAGCCTGATAATACTTGCATTAACCCTAGAAGTAGGAAAGATTTGAGGTGATCCTGTTTGTCTCCCTGGACTGCTGGACAGTGGGAGTGTTTCTAGCTTTGGGCCATTATAAATAAAGCTAGGTACCTATGTGTGTGGGTCTCGGCATGAACTTTCATTTTGTATACCTTCATTTCTTTTGAGGTGTAATTTCCCTATTGTAAAATTCACTTTCAATGTGTACACAATTATACAAGTTTTGACAAAAGTATTCAGTCATGTAGAATATTGCTATAACTCCAGAAAGTCTTCTCAGGTTCCTTTGTAGTCTGTGATCTCATTCTACTTCCTGCCCTCGGCAACCGCTGGTCTAATTTCTGTCCATACAGCTCTTTTTTAAGTCATATACGTGGAATCATAGATCAATAGTCCTTTTGTTTCTGGCTCCTTCTACATAGCACAGTACTTTCAAGATTTATCCATTGTGTATCCTCATCAATGGTTCATTCATTTTTATTATTGAGTATTTCTTCGTATGGATATATTTTATTTATCTATTATTCACCTGTTGCTGGACATTCGAATTGTTTCCAGGATTTGGGGTTTCTGAAAAGCCTTATGGGAGAACTTTAGATCTTCATGTGGGTTTGAGTTCCAGTCTAGAACCCTTTTATTTCAACCTAAAGGATTTCATCATGCACTTCTTGCAGGACATACGTAATGGTAATGAGCTCCCTTCAGCTTTTATGTATCTGAATTTCTCATTCCATTTCATGTAGCGTTTTTGATGTGATTTTGTCCTGTTCTTTCATTTGGGACATCTTCCTCTGTGTCTTTGGTTTGTCTGTTTCTATGTATCAGGAAAATCTCCGACATTCCTGATCTTGAAGGTAATGGCCTTGCCAAGTAGAGGTCCTGCAGTGCCCTAGAATGCAGTGTCCCCTACTCACCAGAACCAGGCGCTCCCGGGGTGTCGGCTGTGTGTGTGGCATGTGCCCTGCTTTGTGGCGAAGCTGCACTGCATTCCTTCAGGTTGTACTTCCTTTCAATAGGGGGTTCTTTGTAGAATTGCAAGCTAGTAACCTCGTTCTGTCTGCCATGGTCTCTAAGGTCACTCTTCTAGACAACAACAAAATGGTATATCTCTCCTCCTTTCCCTGCTTGGAGTGACCTTACTTGGTTTCCTTGAAGTATTTAATTTAAAAATTTTAGGACGTGCCGGTGGTTCAGTCAGTTAAGCAACTGACTCTTGATTTTGGCTCAGGTCATGCTCTTGGGGTCCTGAGATCAAGCCCTGCGTCCAGCTCCATGCCTAAGATTCTCTCTCCCTCCATCTCTCCCCCTGCTTGCATTCTAAATGAATAAATAAATACATAAATAAATAAAATCTTTAAAAAAATTGTGATAGTGCTATTTCATGTAGACTTGCTGGAATTTGAATTTGCCTTTTCTTCCCATGTGAATGACTTATATAATTGTTACTGAACAAATGCCAGATTGATTACTATGTTAATGTTATTTAAATCTAAATTTAAGTCTAGATTCCTAAATCTAGTTATGAAAGCATAACTACAATTAGGTTCTTTTTAAAAAAAAATTTTTTTTAATTTTTAAAAATATACTTGACATTGCCTGTCTCTCTGCCTGCCTCTCTGCCTACTTGTGATCTCTGACTGTCAAACAAAAAAAAAATTTTTTTTAATCTTTAAAAATAAATAAATAAATAAATAAATAAAAAAGAGAACCTTAGAATCAGCTTAATTTGGGGCTGGCATTGTCACCGGGTACCATAAGAACGAAGCAAATGATGATGAACTTTCACAGCTTTCCTGTAAGGTTTTTTCAGGAATCTCTATACCCAAAGTGGGGCACAAACTCACAACCCTGAGACCAAGAGTCACATGGTCCACTGACTCAGCCAGACACCCCTATCTGTCACAGCTTTTATTTTTTATTTTGCTTTTTATTCTTTAAAATATTTTATTTATTTATTTGACAGAGAAAGAGATCACAAGTAGGCAGAGCAGCAGAGAGAGAAAGAGAGAGTGTGGGAAGCAGGCTTCTGGTTGAGCATAGAGCCCGATGCAGAGCTCGATCCCAGAACCCTGAGATCATGACCTGAGCCAAAGGCAGAGGGTTAACCCACTGAGCCACCCAGGCGTCCTGTCACAGCTTTTTTTTTTTTTTTTTAAGATTTTATTTATTTATTTGACACAGAAAGAGAGATCACAAGCAGGCAGGGAGGGGGAGCGGGAAGCAGGCTCCCGCTGAGCAGAGAGCCCCTTGCAGGCTTCAATCCCAGGATGCTGAGATCATGACCTGAGCTGAAGGCAGAGGCTTAACCCATTGAGCGGCCCAGGTACCCCCGTCACAGCTTTTAAAAACACATGTGTTAAGAAAAACAGCACTGAAAAATAATTTTAAGAAAACTAAATTTCAGTGCTTGGTGATTTATTCTCATCACCAATGTTTAAAATTAAAATGAAAGTATGTATGTTCTTCCAGTGGCTCCCTGCATGGCTTCTCTTGTTCTGAGTCATTTAAAGTGGCAAGATAAAGTAATTACAGGAAGTCCTAAGAAGTCTCAGCTTTGTTATTAAAGGCTGTGGCTTCAAGTAAGTCATTTACTCTCCTCAGATTTTCATTTCTCCTTCATTAACAGGAGAGAATAAGATTAGTGAATTAATAAGGCCCTCCCAGTTCACATATTTCAGATTTGTGTGATTCTATTTTTTTTTAAAGATTTTATTTAGGGGCTCCTAGGTGGCTTAGTCAGTTAAGCATCTGCCTTTGGCTCAGGTCATGATCCTAGGGTCCTGGGATCAAGCCCCGCATCAGGCTCCCTGCCTGTTTCTCCCTCTCCCACTCCCCCTGCTTGTGTTCTCTCTCTCACTCTCTCTATCAAATAAATAAATAAAATTTATTTTATTTTATTTATTTTTTTAGAGAAATTTGTCAGATTTTGTTTATTTGTCAGAGAAAGAGCACAATAAGGGGGAGCAACAGGCAGAGGGAGAAGCGGGCTCTCTGCCAAGCAAGAAGCCCAGTGTGAGACTCGATCCCAGGACCCTGGCTGGGATCTTGACCCAGGCCAGAGGCAGTTGCCCAACCAGCTGAGCTACTGGGGCATCCCTGTGACTCTGATTTTATTTGTGGTTACACACTGTTAAACCAATTTAAATTACAAGCAGAACGATTGAGCGCCTTTCTGAAAATGTACAAATGAACCATTTACATAAAAAAGGAGATTGTGGACAGTGTGCTTATATAGGCACCAAGCATGGGAGGGGGAAAAAAAAACAACCACTTGGAGAAGATAGCTTCAAGGAGGGTAGATAAGAGTATGGATTCAGAGAAATCTTAACACGGATAATAGCCAAGTTAAGCGATCTCACACTGGAGGTCCTCCATCTTCTGGGAAGGCTGTCTTCTGCCCATGAAGGCTCTTAGGTGGGTTTGAAATTTAAATGGACTAGAAAAGTTTTGGATCAGACCTTATGGGACATTTTCCAGGACTCAAGTAGGGATGGCTAAAACAATTAAAATAGTAAAGATGTCCGTGATAAATCATGCAGAACTTTTCTTTTCCACAAGTGAAAATGAGCTGGTTTGCCTTTGGTTGGAGACCTTTTTCTTCATTCCTTCCACTACACTCACTACCACCAGCAACACTAGCCACACCCCCACATGGGTCCTTAATTGTCGTGAAAATAATCATGACTGTGGATCTGAAATGTAATGCTGTATTTCATACATAATAGTGTTTGACACTATATGATTAAGTGTATATTTATGCTGGTGATCATTGCAGGTAAATGAAGAATTCAGAGCCTGAAAAAAAGTTTAAACCAAGATGCAAAAAAAGAAAAAAAAGATCAATCAACCTGGAACAGAATGCTGGCAATAGGGAACACAGGTAACAAAACTAGACCATACTGTGTCATGTCACGGCGAGTCCTATGGCAGGAAATTATTTTGTTAGATGGAAGGAATATGGGACCAGAAGCAGACTTTCTGGCAAATTAACATTTTCATCTACGTAACTCTTCAGATTTGATTTACTAAGACAGTGAACCATGTTCCTATGTAGAAGAGACTCGGGCACCAGTGTCTTAAACTGCACTGAACTCCTCAGCTGGCTGAGAACAGGCTTCAGGTCAGCTTATATTTGGAGGGAATATCCAGAACCTAAAGATTGCATCTTAACAGAGGAAATGCTCACTCGCTGTTTGTTTTTTACATTTGTCTTTTTGCCATTCTACTAAAAACTTATTGTTGAAAGTTGCCACTGAACTCCAAATGGCCCAATCTAGCAGCCTTTTCCCAGATTCATTCTGTTTCATTGTAATATTTTATAATATTCCACGATATTTATTTTTCTGATCCTCCTTCCCTTTTCACATCTCTGAGAAGTCGGTTACTCTCTCTTTTTTCACCCCTGAGGATTTATCCTCAGCTCATGACAGATGACATGCATTCATGAGGAGGTAGTCTCATGGAAAGGGAGCTGGGGGGCCCCTGGGGGGCACAGTCGGTTAAGCGTCCAGCTCTTGGTTTTCAGCTCAGGTCGTGATCTCATGGGTTGTGAGATCAAGTCCCGCATGGGGCTCCACGCTTGGTGGGGACTCTGCTTGAGATTCTCTCCCTCTGCTGCTCCTCAAATAAATAAATCTTTAAAAAATAGAAAGAAAGTAAGAAAGAAAGAAAGAAAGAAAGAAAGAAAGAAAGATAGGAAGAAAGGGAGGGAGGGAGCTGAATTAGATGTGTGAGGAACTGCAGTCAAGTCCTAATCATGTTTTGCACTAATGGCACGAACATTGTTCAGTCCCTTAAATCTTGACAGTCTCAGTTTCTGCATCCACAAGAAGTGAAATGAAACTTCCCCCATACATGGTACAAAGTTATAATGAGGAACAAAAGAGATAATAGGTGTAAAAACTCTGATAAGCATATTACTATGCAAATGGCTATAACTGACATTGTTAGAAGACATCTGGGTCATTGGCACTGTGGGACAGACTGTTTAAAGCTAATGGATCCCAAGGGGAACAAACCAAGACCTTATAGGAATCATCCCTATTTTGAGACCTTATATCAATTATCCATATTCAAACCAACTAGTCTAACAGACTCAAGCTGTGGAGATTGATTCCTCTTTGTATTTGCTCATCATGAAACCTAATTTTGCATCATTTGGGGGTACTGTTTCACAGAGCTTTTGATGAGGGTGCCAACTCTTCTAGCATTAAGTGTTAGCAGATGCAGTCATTGTGTAGAACTTAAAATGCTGATCAAATGTCCGTAGAAGTCTTTTGCCTATACTGTTAAGTCCTTGAATGGTAATAAGTATCGAAAAGCATGATAAAATGCTTCTATCACCTTGAATGTGTAAGAAAACACAAATGTCTACTGTTACGAATTATTTGCTGCATATTTGATTGCCAGCACTTAGACATTGGATTCCTTATGTTATAGGAGCATGGTCCTTCAGGTTGCCCTTAAATTTCAGGAGCTTTTCCACCATATTCACAGGCAGATAGAGGGCCATGCCCACCACCATCTCTACCCGCGCCATCTCTACCCTGAGGAGTTGTTCCTCCTTCTCCAGCTTCTTTACCTAGAATAGTGGTAAACCATCATCGCCACGATCACCTTTGATGGAAGACCTCCTCCAAAATCACCATTGGCTTTGTCTTACGGAATAAAGCAGAAAAAAATGACCAACCTGAATCCTGTGCATTTATTCTCGGGGTGCATGACTTGATTCTCCTTTGTAAGAATCGACTCAAAGGGAAAACTTTGTAGAATGTTCTTGAGCATCTTCTGGCCATTAGTGGTCATTAATGTAGGAAAAGCGCATACCTGTGGGTAAGTATTATATAATGTTAGAAAATAACACTGCCGACTCTTGATTTCCTTCATGGGTTCATCATCTTATGTTTCTCTATCAGACAGTATCTTAATGGGAAACTCTATAGAGTCAACTCCAAAGAGATATAAAATTCATATAACAAAGAAAGAATCCATAAAGTCATATAAGGATAAACGTAGTCGTTTCCTAAGGTTGCCATGATAAATGCTTACAAATTGGATGGCTTCTAAAACACAATCTTTTCTGTCAATTCTAAGGGCCAAGAGTCCAAAATCAAGGTGCTGGCCGGGCCACACTCTGTCTGGAGGCTCTGGGAGACGATCTCCTCCTTGCCTCTTCCAGTTTCTGGAGCCTGTTAGCATTCCTTGGCTTGTGGCTGCATCTCTCTCTGCTCCATGTTCACATGGCCATCCCCTCTGTGTCTGTTTGTAAACTCCTCCTCCCTCTCTTATGAAGATATATGTGGTTGAATTTTGAGCCCATTTGGATAATCCAGGATAAGACACTATGCTTTTTAATTTTAATTTAAATTTAATTTAATTTTCTAAAGATTTTATTTATTTATTTGACAGACAGAGATCACAAGTAGGCAGAGAGGCAGGCAGAGAGAGAGGGGGAAGCAGGCTCCCCACTGAGCAGAAAGCCCGATGCAGGGCTCGATCCTAGGACCCTGGGATCATGACGTAACCTGAAGGCAGAGGCTTTAACTCACGGAGCTACCCAGGCACTCCTTATTTTTATTTTAATTCCAGTATGGTTAACATACAGTGTTATATTAGTTTCAGGTACACAGTATAGTGATTTGCCACTATATTGTATATTACAAAATGAGTGTTCTCTTGATCCCTGTTACCTATTTCATTCATCATCCCACCCACCTCCCCTGAATGGGAAGAAATCAGAGAGGAAGACAAATCAGAGTGAGAGACACTGGACTCCGGGAAACAAACTGAGGGTTACAGAAGGGAGGGGGGTGGGAGGATGGGGTAACCGGGTGATGGGTATTAAGGAGGGCACCATGTTGTGATAAGCACATGTTATATGCAACTAATGAATCGTGGAACACTACATCAGAAACTAATGATGCACTATATGTTGGCTAATTGAACACAATAAAAACAAAAAACATGTGTTTGCTAAAATGTACTTTAAATATTTGGTCACAATGTACAATCTCCCTGGCACTGTATGACACTTCCCAGTTGCCTCAATACCCCAGAAATTGACCTGAAGACTGAAAATTAACTCCCCCAACTAAAGGTCTCGAGAAGAGGCCAAACAGAAGAAGGTAGGAAGTGCAGAGACATAGTTTGGGAGAGAAATGGACAATGGCCGTTATGGTGGGGAGAGAGCCATGTTCACAGAGAAGGATGAGAGAGACTAACACACGGGGCACATGGGGAGAATGAATCTCCATAGCAATTAGCTTAGAAAGTGAATGGGGCCAAATTTTATGACTTCCAGCAACCAGTGGGGCTTAAAGCTTGAGTTTTACAAAAAATTGGCAGGAAACAATGGCTTTGAATGACACATTGGGCCAGGTGGATTTACCAGATATATTCAGAACATTCCATTCTCCAATACCTGTTGTCTCTTCTGTTTTTTACTTTATAAAGCCATTCTGACAGGTGTGAGGTGACATCTCATTGTCGTTTTGATTTGCATTTCCCTGATGATGAGAGATGTTAAACATCTTTTCATGTTTTTATTGGCCATCTGGTTGTTGTCTTTGGAGAAATGTCTGTTCATGTCTTCTGCCCATTTTTAATGGGATAACTTTTCAGGGAGTGTTGAGTTGTACAAGTTCTTTATATATTTTGGATAATTACCCTTTAATGGATATGACACTTGCAAATATCTTCTCCCATTCTGTAGGTTGCCTTTTAGTTTTGTTGATTGTTTCTTTTGCTGTGCAGAAGCTTTTTTATTTTGATGTAGTCCCAACAGCTTGTTTTTTTTTTGTTGTTTCCCTTGTCCCAGGAGACATATCTAGAAAAATGTTGCTACAGCTGATGTCAGATACATTACTGCCTGTGTTCTCTTCTAGGATTTCCAGTACTAGCCACAGCAATCAGACACACACACACACACACATACACACACACAGGCATCCAAATCGGTAAGGGAGAAGTAAAACTTCCACTATTTGCAGATGACATGATACTAGATATAGAAAACCCTAAGACTCCACATAAAAACTACTAGAACTGATAAATCAGTAAGGTCTCAGGATACAAAATCAATATACAGAAATCCACTGCATTTCTACACACTAATAATGAAGTAACAAAAGTGAAATTAAGAAAACAATGCCATTTACAATTGCACGAAAAAGAATAAAATATTTAAGAATAAACTTGACCAAGGAGGCGAAAGACCTGTACTCTGAAAACTACAAAACACTGATGAGAGAAATGGAAGATGACACAAACACATAATATGGAAAACAAACACAAAATGGAAAGATAGCCCATGCTCATAAGTTGGAAAAACAAGTATTATTAGAATGTCCACACTACTAGAAGCAATCTGCATATTTAATGCAATCCCCATCAAATTATCAATAGCATTTTTCATAGAAGTAGAACAAATAACCCTAAAATTCCTGTGGGACCACAAGAAACCCCAAATACCCAAAGCAGTCTTGAAAAAACAGAAAGAAGCAGGAGGCATCACAATACCAATTTCAAAACATACTCCAAAGCTGAAGTAATCAACACAGTATGGTACTCCCACAAAATAGACACATAGATCAGTGGAACAAAATAGAGAGCCCAGAAATAAACCCATGATTGTATGATCAATTAATCTATGCCAAAGGAGATAAGCATACACAATGGGAAAAAGATGGTCTCTTCAATAAATGGTGTTGGGAAAACTGGACAGCTACATGCAAAAGAATGAAACTGGACCACTTTTTTATACCAGACACAAAAATAAATTCAAAATAGATTAAAGGCATAAGTGTGAGACCTGAAACCATAAAAACTGTAGAAGAGAGCACAGGCAGTAATGTATCTGACATTTCCAGTGCTATGTTGAATAAAAATGGTGAGAGTGGACATCCTTGCCTTGTTCCTTACCTTAGGGGAAAAGTTCCCACTTTTTCACCAGTGAATATAGCAGCTGGGGGTATTTCATAGATGGCCTTTATTGTGTTGAGGTGTGTTCCACCTCAGCCTACTCTGCTGAAGATTTTTATCATAAATGGGTGTTGTACTCTGTCAAGTGCTTTTTCTGCATCAATTGAAATAATATGGTTTTTTCCTTTCTATTTATTTATTTATTTATTTATTTATTTATGAGAGAGAATATGTGCAAGTGGGGAGGGGCAGAGGGAGAAAGAAAATCTCTAGCAGGTTCCACACCCAGTGCAGATGCTGGGCTTGATCTTAGGACCCTGTGATCATGACCTCAGTCAAAATGAGGAGCTAGATGCTTAACTGACTGAGCCACCCAGGTGCCGCCATAATTTCCCTTTTTAATGTCATGTATCATGTTGATTGATTTGTGAATATTGAACCACACTTGCATCCCAGAAATAAATCCCACTTGATTTCAGATACTGATTTTTTTAATGGATTTGTTGGATTCAGTCTGTCAATATTTTGTTGAGGATTTATGCATCTGTGTTCACCAGGGATACTGGCATGTAATTTTCTCTTTCTTTCTTTCTTTCTTTCTTTCTTTCTTTCTTTCTTTCTTTCTTTTTTTGTACTATCTTTATCTGGGTTTTGGTATCTGGGTCATGCCGGCCTTCTAGAATGAATGTGTAAGCTTTCCTTCCTCTTCTATTTTCAGAATAGTTTGAGAAGAATAGGTATTAGGTCTTCTTTAAATGTCTGGTGGTGATGTAGTTTTGGAATCTTGGTGACGTCCGGAGAAGTTGGATAAGAAAGAATTCTTGAGATGTCTTCAGAGCAAAAAAGTGGTTTTAAGTGAAAACACGGGGATAGGACCCAGGGACAGGAAGAGCTGCTGCCCCAGGATCCTAAGGAGCAACTAATCATAGAGTTTGGGGTTGGAAGAAGTAAAGATTCAAGAAAGTTTCCAAAGGACTTTTTTTTTTTTAACTGAAGCCATTCTCTATTGCTTTTTTAAAAAAATTTTTATTTATTTTATTTTATTTCTTTTCAGTGTTCCAGAATTCATTGTTTATGCACCACACCCAGTGCTCCATGCAACACATGCCTCCTTAATATCCACCACCAGGCTCACCCAACCTCCCACATCCCTCTCCTCCAAAAACCTCAGTTTGTTTCTCAGAGTCCACAGTCTCTCATGGTTCCTCTCCCCCTCCAATTTCCCCCAGCTCACTTCTCCTCTACATCTCCCCATGTCCTCTGTGTTATTCCTTATGTTCCACAAATAAGCGAAACCATATGATAATTGACTCTCTCTGCTTGACTTATTTCACTCAGCATAATCTCTTCCAGTCCAGTCCATGTTGATACAAAAGTTGGGTATTCATCCTTTCTGATGGAGGCATAATACTCCATAGTGTATACAGACCACATCTTCCTTATCCATTCGGCCGTTGAAGGGCATCTTGGTTCTTTCCACAGTTTTCATAGGGTAGCTGTATTTTTAATTTCTTAAGGGATCGCCACACTGTTTTCCAAAGTGGCTGCACCAACTTGCATTCCCACCAACAGTGTAAGAGGGTTCCCCTTTCTCCACATCCTCTCCAACACTTGTTTACCGTCTTGTTGATTTTGGCCATACTAACTGGTGTAAGGTGGTATCTCAATGTGTGTGTGTGTGTTTTTAAAGATGTTATTTATTCATTTGACAGACAGAGATCACAAGTAGGCAGAGAGGCAGGCAGAGAGAGAAGAAGAGAAGC